AAAGAGCAGCTTTCTCCAAGTACTCCTACTCTGTAATGTGTGTTTTTGGAGTTTGTTGCCTAAACTTGTCTAGTAGACTAAATGTAACCAGATTAAATGAAGAGGAATAACTAAAAACCTTCTCAAAAAATACTTTTGACTAGTATTAACTGTAGGGTAGATGGGAAATGAATCCATTGTCACTAGTCCTTAGTGTTTGGGGGGGAATTCCTTTAGGGATAAAGTAGCAGGTTGCGGCCCTGGAGGGCATATGAGGTAGGTGAAAAGGAGGAGAAGGAAATGAATAATAATTTCCTGGACAGCAAGAAAAAAATTCCTTCCCCATGACCAAACCATGGTTGTGTATTGGCAAGAAACAGCTTATGTTTGAAATGTTTGTATAAAAGGGCTTAGTTTCTGTAATTTCTATGCCCCAATTTCTCTGGAAGCAGAAAGCCTGGAGAAATAAGATATGATTTTGATTTTGGGGAAGCAGAGTTGCCTCCTTCAGAACACCTGCCAGTTAGTTAAGATCTCAGAAGAAAAGCAATATTTGTTTATTATAATGTCTTCATTTAATTGCTACTTCAGGACTAATGTGTCTACACACTGAGTGTGTGATATGGAGACTGCTGGGTTTTTCATGTGTGATTCATATAGATGTTTTAGATCCATGTTGAGTTTCCTCTGGAAACCCAGGTTTTCTACATTTAAAAACCAGCTTGAATTCAAGATGACCTATGTTGAATGTGTATTTAGTGAGGTAAATTGGAGGAAGAGAAAGTCACACACAATCAAGGAATACAAGTTCCACATTCTCAGCCAGTGACTTTCAGCTCTTAACTCTAGTTGTCTCTTGCCAAGACTACAACTAATTGAGGAGAGAATGAAATACTGCAGCAATCTTCAATCCTAATGAACGTTGCAATAATTTAATATGAAAGAATTTAAATCTTTAGTTGTTTTCTTCTGTGTGGTACTGGGGTAGAAGCTGTGGTAGTAAAGCAAGGTATTCACCTACTGTGTACTCACAGAAAATAAGGAGAATATACCTTTGCACAAAACAACACAGGGTTGGATCGTTTCCTTCAAATTCTTTTAGACATAATTGTGCTATTTATTTCTGCTAATGTAATATTGCATCCTTATTTTCCTTAAAATCTACATCATTTTATGGATATGTGAGAAAACGTGGAGCTATTTTACAGCTATCAGCAAGTGTCCTCAAGGACAAAGCCACAGCAATGTAATGAGGTCCATAAGAACCTGTAACCACTGATGAACAGTGTCCAGGAAGATTCTTCCTGCAGTTCTGCTCTGGCCTTGCTTCTTCACTCCTCCCTCAGAGCGATCCTTTTACTGTAACACCTCTAAAACTTGTTAGAGGTGGTAAAAATGTTCTTTGTTAAGTGAATCCTCAAGTTAAGCCACTCTTCAAATCGCTTACATAGTGTGAATTTGCTGGACAGCCAAGTCGTGACTGTGAGACCTGGTGCTAAATATAGAGGGAGTGCTGGGGAGAAAACTCTGCTTTTTTGGGATTCTGTGGACAGTGCACACCATGGGATGGGCACAGCCTGTCCTGTGGCCCCAGGAGCTGCTCAGCCTGCAGTAATTTCAGGTGATAATGATGTAGGTAAATTATTCTGTCAGGGACAGGACGGTCATCCAGGATGGGCCTGCATTGTCAAGCAGATAAATTTACCCATTTTATTCACCACATTTGTCTAAAGGAACTGCTTTTTGAATCTATTGGCAATAATGTGTTTTCCTTCATGTACTTGGACACACAGGGGAGCATAACATCCTGAACTACATCTGATTTGGACTATTTTTTCCTTGTGTATTGCCTCAAGGCTCCTTGTAGCTGCTCCCCATGTCTGCTAAGCAGATGCTGCTTCACTTACAAACTGCTGCAGCTTGGAGTCTAATGATTCCTTTTTATGTGTGGAAACTCCTATCTTGACACTCCCATCTTAACAACTGCCCCCCCCAAAAAACCCTAGGTGGAAAATACATTAATTAAAGACCTTAATTTTATATTGTTGTTGAAAATATTAGTTTACTGTATATATATATATATACAGTATATATAGTAGTATATATATAGTATATATATACTATATATATACACACACACACACACACACACATATATATATATATATATATATATATATAAAAGTGAGGGAAGAGAATGTGATTTATTTTTCTTTGTTTGCTGCCAGCCCCAGCCAGGTCCTGATTGTTTACCTAGATACTTTTCATTCCATTTGGTTATCTAACACACAAAATCTTTGAAACAATTTGAATTTTCCTTCATTGGAGGGTTTTGTTCATATTACCCAAAACAGCTGTGGCTCCTAACACTGAATGGAGAGTAAAGATACAATCCACAGGTAACCCCTTCATGCTGCTCCCAATGCTTACTTGGTTCCCAGGAATTTGGAGTAAAAGACTTACAGGACCCGGGTCTGGTCCACAGATTGTTGAGGGGATACATCAGGATGTGAGGACAATGCTGCCCTTTTATGTGCAAAAAACTAAGGTGCACTTCTATAGTGTTTAGCAGAAAACCTTTATTATCAGTCCCATTAGCCCTGAGGGTGGCTGGGAACATGACCTGGTCCTTAAACAGACATAAATGGGATTACATAGACACCAGTCACATTCCGTGTAATAAGTAATCATCAAAAAGCACTGGCATTTAAATCCCCTCCCTAGCTTGCAAAAGGCTTCATCTTTTAAAACAAAAGGAAATTCAAATTAAAAGCACCAGTGTTTGAGCCAGCAAAACAGTGATGTGAGGAGACAAGGAGGCTCAAGGAAAGCACAGAGAAACAAGGTAGAGACAAATTTGATACTGAGAAGAATTGCATTAGCAAAAAGTAATTATAGGAAAGGCTGACTGAGTAACAGTGATATTACCTTGGTCTGGTTTTGGCTGTGCTTGCAGAGATGTTGATAGCAAAGGAGGCAGAGCTGTTTCAGCTCCTAATTCTAACAAGTAGTTTTGGAAAGTTGTGTAGGCTTGAAGGTGTTTTGGTGTCCAAAATAACATGAAGCTTTATCCAAGCAAATTTATAAGCTTGGTATATGGCTTTATCTGAGATAATTTATAAGCAAATTTATTAATTTCTCTTGAGTAAATTAAATTAATGCTTAACAACTAATCAAGGATTTTGGAAGACATTACAATGTACAAGTGAGAAATGGACCTTGCTGGCTGTGTTCAAATTTTATGAGATTTTCTGTTGTTTTGGTTTTATGGTGGTTTGGTTTTGTGTGATTTTTTGGTAAATGCTAACTCAGTATGGTGGTTTTGGCTAGGGTAGAGCTATTTGTGTTCATAGCAGCTACCATGGGCTATGCTTTGAATTTGTGCTGGAGAAGGCAGATCTGGGAGCATCAGTGGCTGTGCATGAGGTGTGCTGGAGCAGGTCCAACCCTAAGGGATTGCAGTTTGTGGATAAGTGCAAGCTGGAGCAGGAAGGAAGGGAGCAAATTTAAACCGTAAAACCTCACTAAAGGGATCAGGAGTGGACATGGTAATGGAAATACCTTTCAATTGTTGTAATTCATGAGTTGTATGCTATGGGAGCTGCTACAGCAGGAGCCACCAGAAGCAGTGGAGGACAATCCTTACAGCTGCAGCAGACACCAACCTGAGCTGCCTTTGGTGTCTGATAACCCCACAACGCAGCACCTCTCGTGTCCTGAGTGAGCACCATAGCAGATGGAGCACAAAATCATGGGGTGAATGAGCCTGTTGGGCATTTTGGGGATGCTTGTGGTCTTTTATGGACATTTTACAGACATTTCACACGGGTGGTCCATAGACTAAGGGAATGTTATCTGTGAAATATATCAAACAGTGAGAATGAGGATGGTGGGTGATGATGATGTGTAGGACCTGAGCCTGATGTAAATGCTTTGGGAAAAGAAGTGGAAATTGTGCTGGTTTGGGCTGGGGTGGAGTTAATTTCCTTCACAGTAGCTATTATGGGGCAGTGCTTTGGATTTGTGCTGGAAACAGTGCTGAAAACAGAGGGATGATTTTATTATCACTGGACAGCGCTTACACAGAGTCCAAGCTTCTCAACACCCCAGTGAGGAAATTGGGGCTGCACAGGCAGCCAGGAAGGGACACAGCCAGGACAGCTGACCTCAGCTGACCAAAGGTGTGTTCCAGACCACACAGTGTCATATCAGCATACAAAACTGGGGGAAGAAGAAGAAAGTGAGAGGAACATTTGGAATGATGGCATTTGTCTTCTCCAGGCACTGCTGGGTGTGATGTAGCCCCTCTTTCCTGCCTGCCCATGGGAAGTGATGAATGAATCCCCTGTTTTGCCTTGCTCGTGTGGGAGACTTTTGCCTTACCTATTCAACTGTTTTTATTTCAACCCACGAGTTTTCTCACTTTACTCTTCCAATTCTCTCCCCCATCTCACTGAGGGGAAGTGTGTGAGTGGCTGTGTGGTGCTTAGTTGCAGGCTGGGGTTAAAGCATACATAAGCCTTTTTTAACACATGAAAAGCTTTGTTTTACATGCAGTAAAACAAAGCTATTATCCCAAATGGGTTCCAGTTAATTTGCTTTTCTTGAAAATGAATGTAGCTACATTGAAGAAAAATATCCCCCCCTTGTCTGTGTTTGTGCATCTGGTATTTAAAAAACAATGCCAAAGGAGTTTATTTATTATGCTGCCCAAGATGTCCAAGATGAGTACATTTCTACTTCTGAGCAAATGTTAATTATGTTTCAGGTTTTCCTGTGACAAAGACATAAAAAGTTTGATTTAGCCTTTTAAAAACCTCAGTGTCTGATGCCAGAAAATGCTGGTTAATTAACCTTCAGATTTCTGTGCTACATATGAGAATGCCTGGCTTATAAAATGATTCCATCATGTAAGAGCCTTAACTGCAGTGAACGACAAATTCAGAGGCTTGTTATGTCAGAAAGGAGGAGGAGGAACTTCTGTTTAGGTCTTGCCTTCAGAGGGAAAGGAAACACTGATAGTATCCCTGTAACCTTGCACTGATGAGCAGGCACCACATTGCTTTGGAAAGATTCATATTTGAGATCTGATGACTAAGTGGTGGTGGGCACAGCTGCTTTTAGAATCAGAGATAAAGGAAAGAAGGAAAACAAATCCAGAATTGCTATGAGAAAATCTTGCTGACATGTAATGCTGTCAGAGCATTTATAAAGAACAGAAACCCCATTCAGTGTCATTCAGGTACGTGCTATATTGAATGGAATATTTATTGTTGTGAATGTTGCCAAAGGTCTGCAATTGATAATCTCTGGATTTATGAACAATAGCCTCTGTGAGAGAAATGAGATAGGTTAAATTATTGAGAGTGTTAATTTTGGTTCCAGTGTAAATTTTTTCTTAAAGTCTATCAGTTTATGCAGATTAAGTGATCTTCCAATGAGCTTGGGGTTTTTAAATATTTGTGGATACAGAGAAAATGATGGAAGTTTGCTATATTTTAGGTCTTTGGCTTAAGAATCTTATTAGAATAGGATTGCTGCACTGAGAGCAGGAGGAGTATTTTGGAACATACATGGTGTTTTAAGGTTTTTGGGAAATTCCACAGATAAATATACTAATAAAAGCTAAATGCCTCTTCCAAGCTTCATAGCAATTGGTATAACCTGATCCAAACTAAATTGGGGTTACTGGAGGTCTCTTAACTTGACTTTTGAAATTCCAAGTCTCTCACTGATAAATGTCTCAGGTTTTGTTTTGACAGTTCTGAAGTAGTTTTCCCATTGAAGTCTGTGCTATTGATTTACAGTCTTTTATTAAGATCTTCAGCTTTAAGAAGGATCTTCCTCATTAGACAGTGAGATCCAAGCCTGTTTTTTTAATTTGCTTTTAGCACTGCTAAAAGGTTTATTTAACAATAACTAAAGATTGGACAGCACATGTATAAATCTTCATCAAACCCATCAGAGCTTTTGCCTGAATGCTCATAAAAGACTTTTGGCTAGCAATGGCAAGAATGATCTGGTCTTTAATCCTGGATGCTTTATAACCAAGGTTTTATTAGAGAAAATAAATTACAGCCTGGAGAGAGGATGGGATAAACAGCAAATTGTGCAGTTTATACCTTGGAATGGTGGGTAAATGTGCTATTTCTTTCTGGGAAAGGGTTCAGCCTTGTCATACAGAGAATGATGCACAATTACAATTTGTGTGTAGAGGAAGTTTTGATATGATTATGGGTGGCATGAGAAACTGCTTTTGGACATAAAGTCATTTACCATTTGCTTCTGATGTGCTCAGTGTTACCAGCAATGTGTTTCCTCATCCATATCCTTGAAATTCCTTGCTCATCTGTTGTCCCCACAGGAGGGGGAGTTCTAAGACTGGTGCTTTTACTGAAGCAACAAATACATGCTGTATTTCTGATTTAAAGCTTGAAAACTTTTATTTGGTGTTTGAGAACTTTATTAAAATTCTTCTTTCTGTTTGTGAGCAAAGTTCAAGCACTCCTCTGTGGCTGTCCTCCGTTTTGCTTTTCTTTCTGAACTTCCCTGTTCCTTTTAAAATAAGATGTATCTTGCATTTTGCAGACACAGTGACTGTAACACAGCATCAGTGGAAGGCAGCTGTAGTGTGTTCCCTGTCAGGCTGGTAACTCTGTGTGAGTGAACACTCAGCTTCCTCATGCTTTAAAAGGAGAAATAACAATAAAAATTTTCGACCTGAAGGGATGGAGCAAATCTGATGCTTCTTTGCAGTTTATCTCATCAGTGCTGTAAATGAGAACCAGTAAATGGAGCTCCAAGTATTGCTGGAGAAAGTGGAAACACACAAACTATTTTATATCCTTGAGAATTTTTTGGCTGTTAAACTGAAAAACTTTAAAAATCACAGGAAGAAAATGCTCATAGTTTTAGAGGTCTTCTTAAAATGTTGGAACTGCAGAATTGTCTTCAAGAAGTCAGCTAATGTGAGTGTCTATAATGATGTTCTGATGAAGAATGGGTTAAAATATATTAACTTAAAAAACTATAAATCCAATTAATATATGATCTCTTTAAATACTCTTAGCCTTCAAGAACCAAAATTAAAACTTATTGGCTTAAAGGTAAAAGTAGCAAAGAGCTTACAGTGATAAGGGATGGTGATCCAGGGGGCTGACCAGATTTTATATACAATATTTTACTGTGCTCCTATTCAGCTATCTGCAGCATGCTTTTGCTAGCAGTGAAGAAATATTCACATAAAAGAGTTTGCTGGTCCATTCCTTGAGAGACAGGACATAAGCTCAGCAGGCAGAAATTCCAGAATATTTTCTAAGACTTCATTTCAATAAGACTAGGAGGTCATTACAATTTTGTCTTAATTAACATGTTAGACAAATGTCCATCTGTGAGAGTCATCAACAAAATTCCAACTGACTCAGCTGAGACAGGATTTTACTCACAATAAAAGGCAGGTTTTCATGTCTGGGTTAATGATGAGACAAATCTAGAACAGCTTGCCTTGTTTAAGGGACTAAAACATATGCACAAACTTTTGTTACCTGTGGATGGTGCTAAACAAATCAGATCTGGGATTTCATGCAGCTTTACAAGAGTGTTTTACAGCTTGAAAGGCAGGAATAAGCAATGCCTTGGTTTCTGTGCTCTTTCAGTGGTTTAGTGATGGTGGAGAAAAAGTAAAGGCATAATGACTCATTTATGAGGTGATTTTAAGTATTTTAAGTCATCAAAAATCAGGTATCAAAAACTGCATTGAAAAAACTTTATTTTAAAGAAGTTAGAATAAAATTGCAGTGGCAAAGATATTTAATCTTGAATTTGCTGTTAATGTGAAAGTGCACAACAAAATTAATACAATTGGAATAGTCTTTTACAGAAATTCCAATAAGAAAATCAGTTTACTATAGCTAAAGCCAGATAAGCAGCCAGAGGAGTTCTGCATTTTGTACATATTCAGACATAGATTTCATTTCTATACCACTGTAGATAAGATTGCTTATTCAAGTTTTATGACTAAAAAGACAGAAGTTTTACGCTTTTTATTTACTTTTTGGCTACCTAAATTAATCCTATAGCATGAATCATTTGCATTATAAATAGACTGTCTGGAAAACAAAGCAATGTAAGTAACACCATTTTATTTGAGGAGAGGAGAAAGTAGAATAAGACATATTGCAAATTGGTCTGACAGGATAAAAGTCCACTGCTTTTTCTTCACTCTTTAGGTCACTGAGATCTGAAATTATTATACCCTGACAACATTTCTGCAAGGAAGGTTTTCTTTTGCCAAAGATTGCTCTGGTTATCACCATTGCTGCTGAGCCTCACAAAGCAGGAGGTTATTTGAGGAGCCTGAGGCATGGCATGCCCAAGGGAAAGCTTAGCCAGGAGCAATGAATCCTGTATTTCTGACATCCATGCCAAACAGAACCTCCCACCCTGGGTTTGGAGCTCTGGCAGGTCAGATGTGCCAGGATGGTGGAGCATGAACTGCAGAAATGGATGAATTCCCATAATTTGGGGATGTGTCCCACCCAACATCAGACTTGTTGCCTGTAGATTGCCAGGGGTCAGGTTTTAAGGGGCAGTGAGGACTCTTCTCTTTTGTGCATTGGCAAAAGGAGTTTTAATCTTTTCGCTGGTCTTTATGCCCAATGAAGAACAGCTGCTACCAGGGAAAGTCTCATCTTTGCTTTCATCAACAATGAGATAGTGTCTCCCCTGAGAGTGTAGGAATTTTCAATTCCTGCTCTATCCCTATTGCCTGATTTACTTGTTTTTCTTCACATATTGACTTTTTTAGCCACCATCTCTTTCCTCTCAAATTTCTGCCTGGCATGAGTGCATTGCTGCAGGCTCTGCTCTCTTCATGCTGCTGTATATCCTCACAGACCTCAGTGGGGAAAATGCTGTGGGGAAAGGGAATAAACGAGGTGAAATTTTCAGTCCCTAATTTATTTACCATACAAGAGCTGTTGATTTGTTGTAAGAGTAAATAGAAGGAATTTGACTTGAGTAAAAAAATCTCAGCCCCTGTGCCAGCTCATGTCTATACCCTGATAATAACAGAGACAATTATTCAGAAACCCTCCAAGCTGTGTTAAAGTTCGACTGGGCAAAATGAGGAATTTTATCCATGTGCTTTCTCTCTTGTTGAGGGCAGAGGTTGAGCAGGGCACTCTGCTCCTCAGCAGACTGGAGTGATGGAACACCTTTGCTGTGATGTGGGCAGTGGGATTTAGGTGTTGATCACTGAGTTTGCTGACCACACCAAGCTCTGGTGCAGTCTCTGCTCTGCCCTTGTGGAATCCCACCTGGAGCTCTGCATCCATCTCTGGGACCCTCAACACAAGGAAGACAAAGAAAATAAGATTCAGTGAGTCCAGGCCATGAAATTCATCAGAGGGCTGGAGCACATCCCATATGAGCACAGGCTGAGAGAGCTGGGGTTGTTCAGACTGGAGAAGAGAAAGCTCTGGTACTTCCAGAGCCTAAAGGGGCTCCAGGAGAGCTGAAAAGGGACTTTTTACCAGGATGTGTAGTGATAGAACAAGACAGAATGGCTTCAAACTCAAAGAGAGGAGGTTTAAGTTGGATATTAGGAAGAAATTCTTTACTGTGAGGGTGGTGAGCCACTGGCACAGATTTCCCAGAGAAACTGTGGATGCTCCATCCCTGGGAGTGTTCAGCCAGGTTGGATTGAATTCTGAGCAGCCTGGTGTCATGGAATGTGTCCCTGCCCATGGCTGGGGGATTGAAATTAGGTGATCTTCAAGGTCCCTTCCAGCCCAAACCATTCATGGATTCAGTTATATTTCTATGAATACACTTTTTGCAAATGACCAGAAAGAAATGGAGTGGACGAAGGCACATGTGCATTTGTTCTAGGACACTGTCATTAAGAGGGAAATGTTGACTGAAGGAATTATTTCCTCCTGGATCCAAGGAACAGGTGTATTCCATGCTGTTGGGGCAGAGCTATGGTGTGGCAATCAAAACAAGAATAATTTTTTTAGAATTAGCTTCCCCAATTGGTATGTCCTGAGAGACCCAGGTATGCTTCAGAGATGCTGGATGCAGATGCACATCCCAGATCCGTGAATATTGAAATCCCCATGCTGCTCTTCCCTGCCCTTTCTTGCATCAGAGATGTTTTTTTTAAATAATGAAGTTCTTACTGGAAAAGGGTGCTATTCTTTGTACTGGTTTCTGCCATGATACTGCTGCAGATTGAAGCAT